AGATTCCCGGCTGCGTGTGTCTGTTGAGTTGCCACCGCGTCCTCCTCGTGGAGGCCCTGGGGCACGAAGATGGCCTTTGGCAAGTCTAACAAAATCCTGCTGCGAGGGTCCTGCCCTGGGCGCTCTATGCAAGGGAGGGTACGACCTTCCTTGATCGACCCGCTGAGTTCCACCAGTGTAGACTTCCCCATCATGTGCTTGATCCCGCCTGGGATGTTAACGAATTGCTGCGTGCGCGGATCAACTTCGCGATAGCTGTAGCTCTCGAGAGCACACACTGTGGCGAAATGATTCTGGACAGCTGATCCCGCCACTTCGGTCTGGGGGTCGGCTTTGCGATCCCTCTAATAATCCTCCCATGATTCCGCCATTGCTCGGGTGCTTCTTTATCACTGGGTGCTTTCTGAAAACGATAATCTTCGTGAACGTGCCGTTCCCGAGGGTCCAGACCCGGGCCTCCAGCTGCACCACCAGGTGGTTCCTTACTCCGCGCGTTTCCTCATCCTCGTGCATCGTCCGCTTGAGAGCGTCTTGTCCCCCCCCCACCACGGATCACGCTTTTGGTCCTCGGCCTGATGAGGTGCGCCATCGGAACTATGACACCAAGAGACTGAGCAGTACAAAGTTCTCCAACAGTGCTCGGACATAAAACATAATACCAACGCTGTTCAAGCATGTCTGGAACATCTTGCAAATCAGCGACATTGGGCGAGGCAGGTAACTCCGAAGGCGTGTGCGATCCCTTGGACAGCAGCCCATGTGAGTAGAAGTCAACCCGTGAGCTTGCGCCTCTCTGCGATCTCGAAGAGCACTCCGCCACAACGCGCAACTTAGTTATGCGCGTATGCGTCGCCAGCCTGCCGAGGCGGAGCACACGCCATGCGCGCCGACCCCACGGCGGAAGCCAGACGCGACTGCAACTGCCGACGGGCATCCCGCGCGACCACGCACAGGGCCATCTGCACGCAGCGCTGCGCAGATGAACTGGCCCACACCCCGATGGGAGTCCCTGGGCTCCCGCCCTCCGCCATGCAGAACAGGGGCTCGCGGGGCTCCATGGGGTCCGAGCGCAAAACATCCTCCCGGAACGCTTCGAAAAGCGAAGGGGAACTCCCCCCTGTCCGTTCCAGTAAGTCCCCCCCAGACTCCAAGACACAAGCGGCATCGACATCTTGCCGCCGCTGCACTGCCCAAAGATTGAGGTAGGCGCCACTTTCCACTCCTTGTCAAATATCTCGTCTCCTGGAACATTCCAGCAACACAGGACAGGAACTGGACAGACCCATCTAGATGCGATGCAACCTGTTTGGGCCAAATTAGGAGCCAGATCCGAAGCTCTATAGCGAACTTGCGAATGCCCAACTTCTGACAAAGCTGATGATTGGTAAACGTGCGTGCGTGTGCCCTTCCTAAGACGTCGCCCTCCCTTTTCACCAGCATTCTCACACGTTTGGTTACACGCGAGTCCCGGACATGCCCGCAGTGCAACACTGCAGCGCACTGAAAACAGCATTGGCGATGTGCCCCCTGGAGGTGTCAGCTTCCACGCCCCCGACACCAGAAGAAGAAACAAAAAGCCACGGAGCGCGCCAGGGGCGGCGCAGGAGGCGCCGCCGGGGGGGCCCAGCGCAGATCGAAGAGATCTGCGCGGAGCGCCAACAGTTCATGTTTATGGAATTTCGTTTCTCTTCTTCGAGACACATCCCCATAATCTTGTGGATGCCATGACATTGGACACTCTAACAATCCGATCATTTAATCAACGATGTGCTTCAAAGGTGTGACACATGTTCTAAAAATGTTTCAGACGTGTTTTCAACATATTTAAAACATAAGTGACACATCTTTTAGATATCAGAAAATTGTTTGGCAGCACGCTTTCTCTCCATTCATCCACTTCCACAACCATAATCGAAGAACAAGTATCCACCCAATTCGCATAGTTTGCAAACGCCGCTCCGCCTCAGTCCCTATGGGTGCAGCCGGCCAACCGTCTCGCTCCGTAATAGCAGAACACCTATACAACGCATTGCCAGCCACTGCGTCCTCGGATGCCGCGAGGATTCGCTGGGCGCCCTACGCCCCAGCACAGACTCAAAAGGCTAGATTTGTGCTGCTTGCTTTCGTTGTGCGTGACCGCGCGACCTCCGATTCAAAAATAGCAGCTCGATGTTGCCGTTCGCTCCCTGCTTGATTGGCCCGATACGTCGGCCCGCTTCCTACATATCCCGAATTAATGTTCTCAAAATGACGTCCACGACGAAGCCTGTGTTGCCGACGGTGCCAACCGTAGGCGATGGGGTTCCTCCAACAACACGTCCGAGTGAGCCCCCCCGTAACAAAACAACTGTTCAAAATGCTGCCGGATCGGATCGGCATATGCCCACATGAACAAGGCTGGGCCGGCCACGCCCCCTAGAAATACTCCCCCTAGGTTGAATCCAGAAGGCCAACAAGCAATCTGGAGGTAGAACACAACTGTTGAACACCCTATCCCACCCAAGCTGCCAATCCGGTGGGCACACGCCGGAATCACTGTTGCGCTTTCCGGGCGCCTCAAAGCGATCCCCCCGTGAACCCAAGGAAGAGCCTTCCACGAGAGAGACATAGCAACAATTGTGTAACATATCCCCTGAAAGCAGAACGCCATGATCATGCGTTCGGCATCGCACTCGCTCTTAGAATTGTGCTGTGGTATACGGCCTGCGTCAGCAACGTGCCACATATATGGCGTATGATTCCAAGCTGGGCACGTGACCAACAACCGTTGAAGTAGCCCCGCGTCCGTTTTGGAAAATGATCGACCCAATCTTCAGCAAACCCAAACCCACGAGGTTCTGGGCGGACTTCTTTGTTAACCCAGCCTGGGTACAAGAGAACTCGTAGCACCTACACTGGACACGACCACGATGGCCATGTTTTCCAGAGGTTCATGTTCCATTTGTTGCTTCTCACTGTGTTCTCATCATCTTGACGAGTAAGATCAATATCCACACCACAATCTCGAACAAGTCGCGGATGCAATGCGACTCACTGCTTCCGACGCGCGCGCCACTGCATCCCCTTGCCTCGGACACATGTCTCATCTTGTCAGCCTGGGTTTCTCCCTGGGCTTCTGCCTTCTAGAAGCGAGCTAGTCTGTGTACTTTGTAATGGTCCCCGCGCCACATGGGTTTTGCGAGCTCTTCCGACCTTCGTGCTTCAATATCCTCCCACTGCCGTCTTGCAGTCACCCGTAAAGCCCGAAGACGACGAACGTGTTCAGAAGATAGACTCCTCCTCCTTCGAAGCATGTCCTTGGGTGAGTTGTTCCCAAAGGTGCCGACATTCCAACAACACAAATCATGAACGCGTTGCGCGTAGAGCGTCCTGTACTCCGTGTGCAAAAAAAGATCGGCGAAAACACTTCTCCAAATTTGCGTTGGTTGTGGTCATAATCTGGCTGTTCAAGCTATCTACGTTTCCGTTCTCCATACACACTTCTGATTAATTCATGTGCGGACGACTGTGCTGTTCGAGCGCATCAAAAAACCAATACGCGGCCACCCGCGATGGAACTTCCCGATTCGGACGACGAAGACCTTGTAAGCTGGACGCCGAGTCACGGAGAACAACAGCGGACACCTGGACAGGCCGATGGTCCTGGGGATGAGCACCTACATGGAGTTGGCGCCGTCGCACCGCTCTCCCACCAAACATTCCACCACGGGCACAAATCAACGAGGCCCAGAACTTGATCGATTGCAATAGTAGTGCGTGCCGACGACGTGCCCGAGTGCTCTGGAAAAGCTCGTACAATCCAGAGCTGCTGATACAGGACGAAGACCTTGCAACGAAGCCTTCTGAGGAACACCACTGTTGAGATCTGTGAACACAAATTGTATTATCTGACGTTTCGAAACCACCTCATGAATCTGGGTTTGAAACCACTCCACGCTGGCGTCCACACTTTCTTCGATGTCTGCTTAGCGTCACGCTCAGAAACCCGGGAAAGGAAATATGCTGCAAGGAGAAGAAGATGATCGCTTCTTCGCAGAACTCGCCCGGCTGCTACTTTACCTTCCAATGTGTTGGGAATCGCAATCCCCTGTTTCACACTGTGCATTGCAATCCTGCAAATGCGCAACACACCGGTAATACCACACGATTTGTTGATATACTTACCATGCGTCTACCCAAACTCGATCACCATGTAGCCAGAAACATTGTCTACCCCCGCCGTCCATTCAGCACCCGCCTTCCCCTGAGTACCCGTCAGCACAATAAAGTCACCATTCGGGAGAGCATCACTGATGTCCTGGAGGCTTTGACGTGTGTGTGTGGTGTGTGTGTGTGTGCGTGCGTGCGTGTGTGTGTGTGTGAGAGTGTGTGTGTGTGTGTGTGTGTTTGTGTGTTTGTGTTTATGTTTGTGTTTGTGCTTGTGTTTGTGTGTGTTTGTGCTTGTGCTTGTGTGTGAGCTGCCTAAGGTTTAAACTGCACAAGTCGAAGAAGCCCAGTCATGAGGAGGTTGCGCCGCAGCCTCCTCCCATCAACGCAAGGAACTCGGAGTGAGGCGGCTGGATCTCATCCACACTGCCAGGACAACGGCTGCGATGCTGCTTGATCCACGTGCCCTCTCCCCCTCCTCCTCCCCCTCCTCCCCCTCCTCACCACCCCTTCTGCCCTTCCCTCCCCCCTCCCCCCCCCCCCTGCCCCTCCCCCCTCGCTCCCCCTCGCCTTCAGTCGGGCGCGTCCCCCTACAGGGGGATTTTGGACGACCCCGACATCCGGCGTCTCGATTTGTTCGAGGCACGGGCCCCCAACCTTTCGACCACTTCCCCGGGACCGGTGTCTCGTCCCGAGTCGTTCTTTGACGGCCTCGCGAGGCCCTGTAAGGGCCCCGAGAGGCCGAAAACTGTGAAAAGCCTCCGTCTCGATTTTGTTCGAGACGCCAGGATGCCTGGGGAAAAATGAAGCCCTCGCCCTCCCCGGGCAGCACGCCGCACGGAAAGCGCGCGCACCCGACGCGGCGACCACGCCCAGCGCCAGGCGCCCCTGCCTCGACCTCACGGACCAGGCTCGCCGCGGCGGCCCGGGCGCGTCCGCGCGCTCCTCCCCGCCGGCCGGGGAGGGGGCGAGGGGTGTACGGTTTCTCCCGGGGCCGCAGGCGACCCGAGGAGGAGGAGGGCGAGGAGGAGGGCGAGGAGGGCGAGGAGGGCGAGGAGGAGGAGGAGGAGGAGGGCGAGGAGGAGGAGGAGGAGGAGGAGGAGGAGGAGGGGAGGGGTAGGGGGAGGAGGGGGGGGAGGAGGGGGGAGGAGGGGAGGAGGAGGAGGAGGAGGAGGAGGACGAGGAGGAGGACGGGTCGCCTAAGCCCTTCGGAGAAACCCTTCAGCGAGGGGGCTGGGGACGGCGGAGTGATGGGGAGAGGAGGGGTGCCAGACTCCCCAGAGATCCTGGCGTCTCCTTTCCTCGAGGTGGGTCTTTCCGCCCAGCTTCGGGTCCCCTTCGGGCCCCGGCCCTCACAGATCCATCCAGCTCGAGAAATGGCGCAGAACTCCCGGCGGGTCTGTCGAGGCCGGTCGGACTACCCGGTGGGGGCTGTCGGTGCGCAGCCCGAACCCTTACCTGTCGGCCTCGACCTGGGCTCGGGCAGGGAGCGCTTAGGCAGGGAGCGCTCGGGTGGTCGGAGGAGGAGGAGGCCGCTTCACAAGAGTGGCCCTCAGGAGAGGGAGGTGTCGAGCATCCAGCTGGGTTCGTTCCCCGACCCCACCCTGGGGAGAGCCATGCCCTCTGCGTGACGCACCCCGAAGCGCGCCCTTGCTCCGACCGGCGGACTGGGCCGGGGCACGCTGAAGAGAGAGCAATGGCCAGGGCACTGCACGCGAGCGCCCGGGAGGAAGAGGAAGGGGGGGTGCGGGGGGAAGTCGGAAGGATAGGGGACAGGCGAGATACCGAGGTCTTCGGGCGTTTTTGGCCCTCGCTGGGCAACAGGAGGCCTCCAGGCCGATCGGAACCGTGGAGGACCTCAGAAGACACTGGGCGATCCCAGACAACCTTCGGCACGAAAAATCGTCGCGGTTGCGGTCTCGCAAATTTCGGCCCTTGTGGGGTTCGGCTTCGGGGCCGGAGATACTCTCAACCAACGGCCTCGGACGCAAGACCGATCCCGGCAAAAGGATGTGGTTCTTCAGGGGCCCTCGAATTGCACGACTAAAGGAGCCAGGAGTCTGAAGGAAGATCGAAGAGGGAAGGGAGTGGGGAGGGGGATATGGAGGAGAGAGAGGAACGAACCAACGAAATGCCACGCAATGCAAGTCTTGCCAAAGCAACGCGGGTACACAGCGAGGCAATGCAGTGCGAAGTGCACGGCACACTCCAATGCGACACGTGTGAGGCCGAACCAAATCACATCAAAGCAACAAATCACACGTACATCAATGAAGTGCGGCGCTCTGTACATACATAAGAAACAAAGAACGCAATGCTCATCAAGCCAATGCGACTCACAGCACATGCTTTGCGCGAGACAGGGCAATCAAACATGTACCGATTGCAAGACTTTGCAGCTAGAGTACGTTATGTAACTAAGGTTCAACTTGTGTGTAGGCCAATGTGTAGCTCGACGTTTGCTTGCCTGTCCAACGAACAACTCCGCATTCCCCAACCAGTGCTTCTTTGAACATGAAAAGCATTTCCAAGGCTACTTCGAACTGGCCCTCGGTGCCGAAAACCCCAGCGAGCCCAGAGCGCAACCCTTAATGCCTCCCGCCCCTCTGGTGGCCCTCGGCGCCGCGCTTCCAGGCCCACGTGCCGCCATGGCCTTCCTGCCCCACTGGCCTGGCGGCACTGCACTCCTCGATGGCTGCTCAGACGCCGACGGCTTGGTTTCCAGCACGGAGCTCTATGGCCTCCTGCCACACGTGGTCCTCGGTGTCGCACTCTTCGGCACTCTTGACCCACTGACCCCTGGGTGCCACACCTTGCGGTGGCTGCTCGGGCTCCAGTGGCTTGGCTTCCTGTGGAGCCGCATGGTTGGCCACACGCGAAAGGATCCACAAAGAAAACCCGCCCACACATAAAGGTCCAAGCACATAGGTTTACAACCGCTTCCGCGCACCCCACTAATGACCAGTGCGGGGGTTTGCGCGCTGGCATCCGCGGATTCGCCATGGGTTTCCTCTGCGCCGCGTTCCGATGTTTTTCCCGCAAAAGCCTGGGGAGGATGGGCGCTTCCCCGCGGGATGCCCACACTTATCTAGTACGCACACAACTCGTTCGCTCCTTCCCTTTTGCTCCAGGAGCGGCTGGCGGCGCGCACAAGGGGGTGGGTACGAAGAGGGAGAGGGCGGCCTTGCAAGGACCCAAGGATATGCATTGAAACCTCCCCTCCCTCTCTTACGCCTGCTAGGGCCCCCCGACCACTTCTAAGACGCACCCCGCCTTCCTCTCAAGGCCACGCCCTGCGCGCACCACCAAAGCAGGAACAGCAACAGCAGCAGCAGCAGCAGCAGCAGCAGCAGCTGGAACGGGGAGGGGCGCTGGCGGGATGTCCCAAACTACGCTGGCCTGCCCGCCCCCGCGGCCCGCCGCCGCCCCCGCCCCGCCCACGTGGGCACCTCCACCAGCCCCACTCAACCGGGGCCATGTCGCGAGCTCCGTCCGGGCCGCCGCACAACGGCTCTGAAAAACCCAACTGGCGGAGGGAAAAGACTGGGCTGGCTCCACGTGGCCCCCAAGCCCCCCGCTCGCGCTGACCACCCTTTTCCTGCAATTCCCTGTCTCCTGCGGCGGGGTCGCCTCTGCGACGAGGGCGTCCCCCCCGGCAGCCCGCATTGCTGCGCGGGGCGGCGGGGGAGCCGCGCTCTGGACCGAGGCAGCAGGCGCGTTTCCCCGCGCGGGGGGCAGAGCCCGTGTTGCGTGGCGGCGGCCCTCCCCGCACCGCACCTTCGAACCTCGGAGACGCGCTGGCCCAGGTCGTAATTGACCGTGCCAGCCGAAGCCACGTCACTAAAACGGGCGGGCAACAAAAATTAGCCTGGCGAAAGACCCAACCATGAGCAATTGTTAATACCGCAATTGTGGGCATCATCTTCGGCGGAGCTCCCTATGGGGCCACGAATCGTGTGAGGGGTGCGCCAAAATTGGGCGGGGCCGCCATGTGGACCCTGCCACTGGGGCCTTCGGTGGAGCTCCCTATGGGGCCACGAGCCGTGTGAGGGGTGCGCCACAATGGGGCGGGGCCGCCATGCGGACCCTGCCACTGGGGCCTTCGGTGGAGCTCCCTATGGGGCCACGAACCGTGTGAGGGGTGCGCCAAAATGCGGGGCCGCCATGCGGACCCTGCCACTGGGGCCTTCGGTGGAGCTCCCTATGGGGCCACGAACCGTGTGAGGGGCGGCCAAAATGCGGGGCCGCCATGCGGACCCTGCCACTGGGGCCTTCGGTGGAGCTCCCTATGGGGCCACGAACCGTGTGAGGGGTGCGCCAAAATGCGGGGCCGCCATGCGGACCCTGCCACTGGGGCCTTCGGTGGAGCTCCCTATGGGGCCACGAACCGTGTGAGGGGTGCGCCAAAATGCGGGGCCGCCATGCGGACCCTGCCACTGGGGCCTTCGGTGGAGCTCCCTATGGGGCCACGAACCGTGTGAGGGGTGCGCCAAAATGCGGGGCCGCCATGCGGACCCTGCCACTGGGGCCTTCGGTGGAGCTCCTATGGGGCCACGAACCGTGTGATGCGGGCGGGGCCGCCATGCGGACCCTGCTACTGGGGCCTTCGGTGGAGCTCCCTATGGGGCCACGAACCGTGTGAGGGGTGCGCCAAAATGCGGGGCCGCCACGCGGACCCTGTCACTGGGGCCTTCGGTGGAGCTCCCTATGGGGCCACGGAACGCGTGAGGGATGTGCCGAAACAGAGACATGCGAAGGGCAGAGGCAAGGGGGAGGGAGGAGGGAGGGGGCAGCGGGAGGAAGGAGGAGGAACGCGGGGCACCGTCTCTTCAAAACGAGGACCCAACACCACAGGATGGTTGGGAAAAAAATAAGTCCCAAACCCAAGTCTGCGGATGGGAGCTGGAGTGGGGATCGGCGCCACATGGCCCCCAAACCCGGGCCAGAGGGGATCAGCCAGGGGATTGGGAGGCCCCCATTCGCGGCCGATCCCCCCCGACAGCCACCCCGAGAGCCATCGCCTTGGCCCCCCAGTAGCCCGCAAACATCCAGCGCATACGTCGGAGGGTCACAATGCTTCAGGTCCGGGCCTAAACGATCGGAGTGGACATCCGCTTCAAAATGAGAGCCTCGACCTGGTCCTCACGGGGTCCGAAAACCGAGCCAGAGGCTGGAAGCCATTGAACTGGTGGTGGGTGCACCTGGCCTTGACCGCAGAAGGCAAAAACTCGGATGCAAGCCTCCCTGGTATCTGTTTTGTTTGTTTCTGAACTTTTTCTGAACTCTGGCAGGGCAAATATCCGGGCCACCCCTTCCCTCCCTCCCTGCCCTCCCTGGTATCCACCTTGAAGGAAACAACCTCAAGTCCAGTGACACTTGTCCTGACTGTTCGCCCTCTCGCGTCTTACGAGGTGCAATCATGGCGGCAGCCCGCGACAAATACTTGCTGCATAATCAAAAAAGGATGATGCACGGGATGAAAGAGCGGTCGCGGGGGGCAGGCTAAGGCGGACCGCGCGCTCAGAACATGAAGAACTTCGCGTGCAGTGCTGGCGGCCTCAGGCTCACAGAAAAGGTGGTACCTGGCACGCACGGTGGCATGAACAAACATCATGGATGAAAGAGCCTGGCAGGGCGGCAACTGAGTAGTCCGCTGCAGGAAACGTTGGATCGCATGGCCAAGGAAAGCACCCCACAACGACAACACCAGCGCATGGAACACGAATAACGAACACTAGTATTCGAGGCGCGGCGGCACTGTGGCAACCATGGGTCCCAAGGGTGTTGATGACATTCGTGGGCAACGAACACGCGTGCATACTGAAACATCCGTCAACTATAATGGCTGCCATACGACAACTCCGATCGGCCCAAAACAAAAACGTCGATTTTGGGGGGCGGCAAATTCTTGTTCGCAGCCCCACCTCCCACGCTGCGGAGCGCAGCCTTCTCATCGGGCAACACGTGTTTCGGGAAGACGTCACACTCGGGTTCGGGAAACTAGGGTTGGCCTGACGGGGGCAGTCAGGGAAATGACGAGACCCAGCTTGGACTTTGACGCGAACTCCCGCTGCAAACGTCCCACGAAAACTGCACCGTCAAAACTCAGGACGGGCTCGCCCCAGAAAGCGTCGCCAAACCCAAGCTCCGGCGAACTCGAGTCTTACAGTTCCCCGAATGCTCTCGACCTGCGTATCCTGAAATATGCTCAAGACCGCATCCAGACGTGATATGTCGTGCCCAAGACGACCCGAGGGACCCCACGGACTCTTACCATGGCATCCGCCGATGTGCTTTGTTCACTCCGCGGCCACAGGGAGGTTCCCGACCCCTTCCCCGCGGGTGGCCCATCGCTCTGGATCGATGCTTGGTATCCCCTGGGCCCGAAAAATCGCCGCCCGAATGCCGAAATCTGGGAAGACTCGCCGGTTGAAGAAGTCGAGTCGTGCGAGACCAGGGTCCAGGATGGCCTCCGTGGGACCGTCTCGCAACACTCCTGCGAGGTGGGGACTTATCCGTGTCCACAGCCTGGGAGCCGACGTCGTGGTGCCCCATCGGGCGGTGGATATGGATATATGTTGGCCCCAGAAGGGCCCGAAGATATCCATATCCACCGCTGGCCGAGGTCCCCGAAAATCGATCCTCCAGGCGGTGGTCATGTACAAAGTCCCGCCTCCGAATTCCTGGTCAGCGGGCGCAATGAAGGTCAGACGACGGTCGAGCGACGGGAGGGACTCTCCAGAAGCAAATAGCTTACCAGAAGATAACAAGCGGAAAGGAGCGAATGGAAAAGAACGAACCGCGCTCAGAACACGTAGTCATCCCGTCTCAGAACACGAGAACGTTTCTTTCTGTTCGGCGATGACGGGCGTCATGGGGGGGGGGCGAAGGGGGGTATGACGTAACGCCCCCCCCCCGCCGTGTGGCTCCGGCACCGCAGCCGCGCCCGCGCGCGCGACGCGACGAGCGACGAGAGACGACGACGACGACGACGACGACGACGACGACGACGACGACGACGCGAGCAGCATGTAGGTGGCGATATGCCCCACTGCGCCTGTGTACGCCGCAACGCTCGCGTGCAACACAGCGCGCGCGCGCGCGTATACCACAGCGCCTGCGTACACCGCAACAGCCGTGTGCAACGCAGCGCCTGTGTACACCACAATGCTTGCGTACACTACAGCGCCGGTGTACATGTGTTCACCGCAGCTACCATGTGCAACGCAGCGCCTGTGTACACCAGAGTGCTCGCGTGCACCGCAGAGCCTGTGCACGCCACTGCGCGTGTCTACACCACAACATCCGCGTGCAACGCAGCGCTGGCGTACACCACAATGCATGCGTGCATAAGGCAGGTAGAAGGGGCATGTACGTGAGGATTTGCTGCGGACAACTAGACGTCACGCCAGGAAAGTGCTGATAATCGAATGCGACGTTCTTCCTTCCTCCCTCCTACTCAACCTCCACCACCTCCTCCTCCTCCTCCTCCTACTCCTCCTCTTTCTCCTCCTCCCCCTCCTCCTCCTCATCCTCATCCTCCTCTTCTCCCTCCTCCTCCTTACTCCCTGTCGTGCGGGTTGGCGCTACAGCGCACGTGCGCATTTCAGCGCGCACCGCATAATGGTCTATTGAATCGGTCCACTTAGTTCTCGGACGGGCAATTTACCTGGAGTCTCCTGGACGCAGATGGGAGGAGTTAGGGTGATGCGGGCGAACTCGGGAGGACTCGTAGATTCAAGCGGCGCTCCGTTGTCCATAAGGATTAGTTTCAACTGTTTTCAGTGGAGTCCACAAGCGCTCCATTTTGTCATACGGATGTGTTCCAACATTCTATACAACAATGGTGTTGTGTTGCACACGGTTGCGCACAGGCGCCGTGGTGCACAAAGGCACTGCAATGCACGCCGGCATTGTGGTGTCTAGTGGTGCTGTGTCGCACACGGCTGACGTGGTGTACGCAAGGCAAGCGCTGTGGTGTGCACAAGAGCTGTTGTGGCCGCAGGCACGGTGGCACAAAACTGACGTTGTGTTGCACGCGGCTGCTGTGGTGTACATAGGCGGCGTGGTGTACACAGGCGCTGTGGTGCACGCAGGCACTGTGGTGTACACAGGCGTTGTGGTGCAAATCGCCACCTACATGCTGGCGCTACCCGTCCTCCGTCATTCCTAGGCATTCCCATACGCCGCCGGCGCGAGACGTGACGTCATCGACCCCCTCCACCGCCCCCCTAGGTCATTGCCGTCACCGGCCCGGAATAAAAAAACAGGCTTCAGCCGCGTCCGCGCGCACGACGACTATGAGCGACGAGCGACAAGCCACTGGCGACGACGACAACGACGACGACGACGACGACTGCGGACCAGACTCCTATTCGGATTCCTACGCGGACACCTACGCTGATCCCAATGCGCACGGCGGAAGTGCCCGGAGCACCCTGGGGGGGGGAGCGTTACGTCATAGGGGGGGGAGCGGGGGCCATGACGCCCGTCATGCCCCAAGCAATCAAGAGACGGTCTCCATGTAGCGGCAAGGACACTTTGATCGGGGAAATCAAAAATTACCGACGCCGCTACTGCCTGGACCTCTCCTGGGGTGCATTCTGACCAGGATCTCGAAGCGAATCCAGCGGTCGTGACGAGAGCCTCCCGGGAGGCCCACCAAGGGGAAGAAAGGGGGAAGCGCAGCGGTGTCTCTACCGTGTCCTCCTCTTGAGTGATGTGGTCGGCTCTTCCAGAGGTGGCGCCTCAGTTGAGCAGGGACCGACCGTCCCGGCACTCCTATGGTCCTACCACGACATGTTCTTAGAATACAAACGTGTCCCAATAACAAACACAACGTTCTTAGAACATCAGCCCGATGTGTTAGAACAACACAATCTCAGTCAGAAATGTTCTAAGAACATTTCGTGGAAACCACAGAAGGTTCTTAGAACATTGTTTGGTAGGCCTATAGGCGAGCCAGGACGCTTCGCCACTGCTTGACACTACGGTGAGGGCCTTGGGAAAGGAATCCTTTGACAGTGGATCCAGGGTCTGGAAGCTGCTGGAACTCGGACTGAGGCTTGGCCATGGATATCACCGCCGCCCTCGTCGGGTAAGGAATCCTCCAGGGGCTGAAGCCCCCTGGTCACATTCCTGGACCCCCCGCCGTTGCCACAACTATGCCTCCACGAGGCCCCAAGACCACTCCAAGGCGGCTCCAAGCGACCAAGGAGCTCCGCAAGACGGCCTCCAGGAAGCCAAGGTGCTTCCAAAACCTTTGGGAAAACCGGCGACGTTGTCCTTCCTCGCCTTTTCGCTTCCGATGAGCTCTTCGAGGCCTGAGAAGTGGCTCCAAGAGGGCCGCCCAAGAGGGCCCCAAGAGGGGCCGAAGATGGCCTCGCGACTGCCACAAGAGCGCATAGGAGCGCCTCCAGAGGGCGCACCTTCTTGCTGCAACGCCCCTGAGATCGCGGTCACCCTGAAAGTACGCACGCGTCTGTGCACATGCCAAAGCCCACTACAGAAAGCTGCAACCTGCCGTCCAGATCCGAACTGCACCTGCTCCCTCCGCTGCCTATCTTCACACGTTTCTGGATGCGCGTGGCGGACGATGCGACCGACTCACCTACGTACGCGCATAAAGCATGCCGAAGCGTGAGCTTCGCGCGTCTACTTCCCATCCTCTCACCGGCTTCGCTTTTCTCACGTTCGACTCCCCTCCTCCCCGTCCCATCCACGACTCCCGCACCCACTTCGTCAGCACTTCTCACCCTGGGCCGAATCAACGTTGCAAATAGACGCCGGTAGACCCTCCTTAAGTCCTCTATCTTCTATCGGCCTTCTGTTTCAACCTTCCTTCAGCATCGGTGTTCTTCCATGTGCATCCTGAATATTGACCTGTCGTCTAGAATTACACTCAACTCCCTCTAACCAACGGTCAGACTCCTGTCACTTTCCAGCCGCTCACCATCGCAATGCGAATCCGTCCAAAATCAATCGCCTGTGGGGCCATCTGGGTCTGTTGAACCGGTAATGAGCGGAACATCGTCTTACCATTCGCCTGGGTCCCCAAAGAACACTAACAACAAATGGTGATGCATGCAGAATTATGACGTCAACTAGCCGCTGAGCTCCCGAGATGTTGCAAGATATCGAAACAACACAACACTTCCCCAAACAGTGCTTGCACTCAGGGATTCCGCATTGTTTGTCATAAAGAACTTGGCCTGAATGGCGGTCGGGCGGCTCCGTGGTCGCCGTCGCCGCCCCGTCACCGCCTCGTCACCGCCCCGTCGCCGCACGTCGCCGAAGCCCTGCGCGGCGGTCTGGCGGCTCCCTGATCGCCGTCGAGGCCTCGTCGCCGCCCGCTGCGTGGACCTTCCCGACGTGCTGGCGCTCCGTGGTCGCCGTCGCCGCCTCGTCGCCGCCCCGTCGCCGCCTAGATTCTCCTTTCTTCGAAAACATTACGACTCAACCCCACTGGACTTGACGGGCAACCTTTTTCGTACCGTTTTTTTCCCAACCTTCCCTTGGTTGGAACAGAGCAGTGGGGTCTCCACCTCCTCCACGCCCCCCCCCCTCTCTCGGCTCTCTCCTCTCGCATCCCCCTTGGGGGCCGCGCAGTGTGAAACTGTCGCCACTTTCGACGGCCGCTGGGGGAGCCAGCACAGTGGGGCCACACGCAGATCCAAACGGGACCTCCTCGCCATCCCTGGGAGGCTGCGAAGTGTGAAACGGTCGCCACTTTCGAGGGCTGGTGGGGTAGCCAGCGCAGTGGGGCCACACGCAGATCCACACGGGACGTCGCCATCCCGTGTGGGGTTGCAAAGTGTAAAGCTGTCGCCATTGTCGAAAGCTGCCGGAGACCAGCGCAGTGGGGCCACACGCAGATCCAACAGGGACATCGCCATCCCTGGGGGGCTACTAAGTGTAGACTGTCGCCACTTTCGACGGCCGCTGGGGGAGCCCGAACAGCGGGGTGCCACGCAGATCCAAACGGGACCTCCTCGCCATCCCTGGGAGGCTGCAAAGTACCAGCCAGCGCCAAGCACTCATCGCACTTGCTCCCGCATGGACTTTGCAAACCAAGTTGTGGGTGGGTGGGTGGGATGATTGCGCGAGCCGTGGAGTTGACAGACAACTTCAAGTTCGGCAAGTGTATTGCACCACCTAGACTGCACCACAAACTATTGCACAATATCGGTTGCGCAACATAGATTGCACAACGTTGGGTGCACCACACAGATTGCTCCACATAGATTGCACACCGTGGATTGCTAGAGCCACAAACTTGTTGCTAACGCTGGCTTCGCTGGCTAGCGCGTTGCTTTTCTGTGGATTTGCCACCATGGACTGCCACCCCACCGCCAAATTACGAAAGACTGGCAGAGCAAGAGGGAGGGAACAGGGCAGGGTGTGAGGGATGTTGTTTGAATTGCGCTTGCATCGGTGATTGTTCCTGGGTGGCGGCTCAGCCGAGACACGGACGCGGAAGGTACGATCGCATAGAGCGGCGGCAAACACGAAACGCAGTCGTACAAGGCAACGGAAGGGGGGCTAGGAGAGAGAGTCAGAGAGAAGGAGCGGGGGAGACGGAAGGAGAGAGGTAAGCAGGGAGGGGGCGGTGGGGAATGGGGACTGGGACCGCCCCTGAAAGGCTGCGAGGTAGCAGAGCGGACATCCGAGAGTTTCCGCTTCCGAGCTGGAGCGCCGATCCAACCCCCGGACTGCGTGAAGCATGCTCACGTACTCCTCCTCTCCTCCTCCTCCTCCTCCTCCTCCCAATCCCCGCTCATCCTCTTCCTCATTCCCTCCCCTTCACCTCCTTCCCCCGCCCTCTTGGTGCGCCTCTCCTCGGCCCATCCTCCTGGAAGGATTTGGGTCAGGCGGCTAGGGGTGGGGGTGATTGGAGCGCTAGGGGTCCAGTCGAAGGAAAGGTAGACCCCTAGACCCTGAGAACCAGGGTAGCAAACGGGCTGGGTGCGATGGAGCTGCGCCGGCATCGGCCGACGATGCTTGCACGGCTTGGATGTACCCCGAAGCGAAAAGTTCCTTGAGCTCAGACAGGAGCTAGCAAGGCGGCAGGCCAGCAACACGAGCCATGGCCCCTCCCTCCCCCGCCGCGCGCACCCGCGCAACTTCGGAACATGCTGCCCCCCTGGGTGAAGTGGAACTGTCCTGAACCCGTCTGGGGACACCCCGCCCCTCTCCCACTCCTCCCCTCCCCCCTTCCTCCCCGCCCTCTGAGTGCGGGGTGCGGCGGATCCGCGACGGCATCGGCAGCGCCCCAAAAGAAACACAACGCCCTCGCCATCCCTCGTTCCCTCACCCCCTCCTGACGCATCCTTCTCCCGCGTGTCCTCCTGCCCCCCCCCCTCTTCTCCCTCCTGTCCTCACTAGCTCTGCTCCTCCCCACCTCCCCACCTCCCCACCTCCCTTTCCTCCCCCTCCTCCTCCTGCTCCTCCTGCGCCGCCTCCTCCTCCCCTCCGCCCCGCTCCTCCGAGACGTGACCCTCCCGTTTCCACTGATCGTGTCCACCGGTGCCGCCGATGTTACCGCGTTTTTCTTCCCGCACACCTGGCTTCAACCATCGATGTGTGATGTGTGCCGTTTCGACCGGCGCGTGCCCAGCTCGTCGAGCGCGATGCTCCCGCTGCGGCCTCGGCCACCTTTCAGGATCGGCGCCCTGCCCATGGCGTTCAGACCTGCCTCTGGTCATCGCTCGGACGTCCATTTCCTGTGTTTTTGTTCGGTTTCGTGCGTGGCTTTTTCGCGAAATGATCAAGGATGCTCCTCGATGGTCCTCGCCGAAGGAAAAATGCGCACGTCCGAGCGATGCCAAGGCCTCACTTTCGACCACCCTCGCTTCCGCACGGGAGCCAAACCATACCAAGCCGCCCGCGGAGGTGGCCCGCAGAGGTCAGGCTGCTCGACTTAAGGCGTGCGGCACGACTCGTCTTCGCACGGAACAGAAGGCGGGGCAGGCACCTCGTCCTCTGAGGAATGGCGCTCTCGCCCCGCGCCTCTGGATCGGATTCCCTCCTCGTCGTGGAGGGCCCGAGCCGCGGTCTCCCTCCCCCGACCCCCGCCCCCCGTCATCCTGCTCTTCCCCTTCCTGTCTGCTGCTGCCGCCGGTCCTCGTCGCCTTCCTGTCCTCCCCCCCATTCCCCCTGCCCGTGATCCTGGTCTTACGCCATCGAGGGAGGGTTTACTGCAACATCGATGGTGCGTCTTGTGCACTGGTCCCCCTGCTCCGAGTCCCTCTCCCTCCTTCCCTCCTCCCTCCTCCCCCTGTCCCCTTCTCCTCCCCTCCGTCCCTTCCTCCTCACCCGCTCATCCCCTCTCCCCCTTCCCACCTCTCCTACTTCACCCTCCCTACAACCTCCTCCCTCTACTCCCCTTCCCCCTTCCCTCTTCCCTCTTCCCTCTTCCCCCTTCCCCCTTCCCCCTTCCTCCTCCTCCTCCTCCTCCTCCTCCTCCTCCTCCTCCTCCTCCTGCTCCTCCTCCTCCTCCTCCTCCTCCTCCTCCTCCTCCTCCTCCTCCTCCTCCTCCTCCTCTCCCTCCTCTCGCCCCTCCCGAGCTCGCCAGGCGCCCTAGACTAGCCCGCAGGCACTCAGGCGCCTGCGTTTGCTCTCGAGGCCTGCGGGTCCCCGCGCGGCGATGAGGAGGACGAGGACGAGGAGGAGGAGGAGGAGGCCCCTCGTGTCGGCCCCCAGCGTCGTCTCCCCCAAACTGAGGGGGCTCAGGGACACACACACACACACAAACGCACACACGCATACATATATATATATATACACATACACATATATATATGACTATATATACATAGATGTACACACACACAAATCCCAAGATCCCTGAATTGTCTGATATGTTCTGGGTTTGGTCGTCCCCCCATTTCCCATAGTTCATATCTTCCAAGGAATCGACTGTTAAGTGTGTCCGTATGTTTTTCTCCCCCTCCTGACCAACCCCTCGTCGTCGCGCTCGTCGGCCCCCCCCAAGGGCCTGACCGAGCCGTTTTACCGAATGCCCCCGCCCCACCCACCTCGATGGTGAGGGCGGAGCGGGGAGGGGGACGGCTGCACCTCACGGAACACAGAGGCCGCCAGCTTCGAGACTTCGAGGAGGGAGGGAGAGCATAGAGCTTGTTTTTTTATGGGGGGGGGTAGCGCCCGTTACGGGGGGGGGGGGTGTCCGGCCCCCAGTTGGGGATAACGGTAACGCGCGGCGGGGCCCTCGCACGGGCCCTGGTACTTATTACCAGCACAACTGTCGGAACGGTAGGCTTCGTCGTCGTCGTCGTCGTCGTCGTCGTCGCCGCTGGCGTCGTCGTCGAAGCCGACCGTGCCTGTGCACACTACACAGGCTCTGTACACCGCGATGCCTTTGTACACCACAACTGCGGCAGAAATGGTATGTGTGTGCGCCACGGCGACTGAGCACATCATGACAGGCGGGTGCACCACAGCGCCCTTGTACATGTCACTGTTGGTGCACACCACGGCGCCCGCGTGCACCACAGCTGCTGTTTCAACGCCCCGTGTTTGCACCAGAATGCCAGCGTACACCACAAAGCTTGTGTACACCTGTAAGGTACCGGCGGAGCGAAAGTCCAGAAGATCGCTCGGGGCCCAACCGTGGCCCTTTCATTATGTGAGCTGCTTGTGGATCTTAGTTTTTCTGGTTCAAAAAGCGCTCGGACCTGTTGAGCCCAGTCGTGCCCCGTGGCTCGGGAAACTGGTGCGTCTGAGCCCCAGACGGGCCCCGTGGACACATTTTGAGTTTGCGCCGAGGTTCGAACCTCGAACCTCGAACCTCGAACCTGAGCACACATGTGAGCGTCACAGCATGGCTGCCTGGACGGAGGGGGGTCCGCACCCAAGTCCCCGTACGCTCGTTACCGTTACGGGGGAGGGGGGGGACCCCCCCCCCGTAACGGGCGTTACGGGTCCGAGCAATAAAAAAACAAGCTCATATAGCCATCATTGGGAGGGAGATGTTGGAAAGCTAAGCGTTCCGCTGCACGGTCTGAGTGCACAAAAGACGTGCACGAAGAGCAGAGTCGCCTGTGCATTGGTCTTTGGCGTGGCGGCCCTTGCGCTACACCTTCTCCACCACCTTCCGGGTCTTCGCCCCCGGCCCCGTCCACGTCGTACCTTCTCCTGTGCAAGCTCTTCGGCACCGCCTGCACCCCGGGCTCCACCTGCTCCGGCCGCCTGAGGCCCCGCCTTCCTGCGCCCTGTCTCCCTAATTAAAGCTGCGCGTAGCCCGCCTAGCTTTTAGCGGAAGAGGTTCGCTCTCGCCCCGCCGACCAAAAAAATTCCACGTGCTTTCAGCAGCGACCACCCGTGCGTGGCCGAGACTGGCCGTGGCCAGAAGCGCTCCCTCAGGTTCCCTCTTCCACGTGCCTCGTGGTTGCGCGATGGCTGCCCTCTCGTGCCGCTGTTGCGCTTCTATGCAGGGGCGGGGTATGCCTGACGGGCCCAGAGTGGACTGGAAACCGAAGCGCGGTCACCAAACCGGCCCGTCGCCAAATTTGCCCGAACCAGACTGACCACCTACCAAACCACCCCAACCCGAACCCGAAGACCCGAATTTGACCCGAATTTCGGATTTGGGGGGGTACGGGTTCCACGTTATTTTCGATGTTCCCCGACCCCCCCCCACTGAAAATGGAGGGCAAATCGTGGCCTTCGGGTCGGGTTGGGATGGTTTGGTGGGCGGTGACAGACCCCTCAAGGGAGCGGGGGGCGGCGGATCAAAAGGCATACCCAGGAGGCACCCCTCCACCACCGCACCCTGCGCGCAGCCCCGAGGAGCCGGGCCGGGTGGCTCACGTCAAGGGTGCCGCCGGGCGGAGCACGAGGAAGAACATCCGACCACCTGCTGCTGCCGTTCCTCCTCCCCCCATCCATATCATGGTCCTCCTCCTTCTCTCCCGTCCCCCCTCCGAACATTACGGGCGAAGAACGGTATAACATAAACTTGTTCGCCGTCGGGGACACCTGCCCCAGGGCGGCTGGAAAGCTTATACCCTTACGGCGGCACCGTAGGGGTATAAACTTTCCAGCCGCCCAGGGGCAGGTGTCCCCGACGGCGGAAAGTTTATTTTACACCGTTCTTCGCTCGCTGAGAACAGAAGAAAGAATCCCACGCAGGTCGATGAACCTTGCCTGCCCGCACGATCGTATGCCTTCCGCGAGTCCACGTGCAAGGCACCGGCGAGGAGTCGCCTGTGACATACTCGTGGCTCTCCCCGAACATCAGCCTGAGTATGTCGTGAGCCTCAGCTGCTCGGCAATGCCACTCTCGGAGAAAGATGTGGTTCGCGATGATTGGCCATGCTCTTCCGCTTTGCCGGGACAACCATCCCTTCTCTCTCTCTCTCTTTCTCTCGCTGCAAACTGAGCCCTGCACTGCATTCTTTGACACGCCAATTCAACACTCAAGGGCCTGCCCGGGCACGCGGTGGGTGTCGATTGGGCTGCGGCGAGATCTTCAACGTCATCTCGTGTGGGAAGCACGGCTGGCACGGATGCGCCCCACGCGTAGCTTTTTGGTGAGCAGCTGAGTTGTCTGGCGAATCGTTCTCTCAACACGCCGACGTATACACAACAACATGTGCAAGGAACTGGTCATCGATTGTTTAGGACAGAGGCAGAAGGATCATACCGTACTGTAGCACCCCGCAGTTGCGGATAAGAGTGAGGGGGCGGCGGCGTCGTCGGCGTTCTGCGAGGCTCTGAAGAAACCCGCCACAAGCGCCGATTCATCATTATTATTAATATTATCATTATTAGTCTTATTACTAGTATTATTGTTATTATTATTGTTAGTATTAATATTATTATTATTAGTATTATTAGTATTATTATTATTAATATTATTATTAGTATTATCAGTATTAGTATTGTTAGTAGTAGTAGTAGTAGTAGTAGTAGTAGTAGTAGTAGTAGTAGTAGTAGTAGTAGTAGTAGTAGTAGTAGTAGTAGTAGTAGTAATCGTATTATTATTCTCATTAATAATCATGATATTACTATTATTCGTAGTGTTAATAGTATTATTGATGTTACTTTTCATAAATAAAATATGCAACTAGCCCGCCGCAGGCGCTGATTTTTTCGTCGAAGCAAGCGGTCGGGTCGCAGGTGGGTTGCGGGATTGTTAACAAATTATGCAACAAGCCCGCCGCAGGCGTCGAATTGCTCGTCAAAGCAAGTGGGTGGGCTGCGGGTGGGCGTCGCGAGTGCTTCGCGGGCGGGCAGCGGGTGGGTCGCGGGAGCGTCGCGGGGTAGGTCGCGGGTGGGATGACGACAACAAACAACAGACAACGCAACAACAATCCACACCGCGAAATCCATCTCAACCACGCACCCAGAGACAACGAATGACCGTTCGGCCCCCTCACTCTGACTAGATGCGGAGGGACCGTCAAAGAGCTCCAGAGACGCAACAATCTAGAAAGAACCGCCGATCAACATTGCCACCGCAACGGCAAGCTGCTCGACAATCCGGTGGTGATAAGGCGCGGCAGATCACCTTGCACAGCTGTTTGCGAGAGTTCGATTCCCCTTTTTGCGTCGTGACCCGTGGTTCATGATCCTCCCCTCCTAGTCCTTCCCTTCTGATTCGTCGGCTCTCCCCCCAATGCCCCACCGCCCGTTTTCGCCGTTCGTGGTTCGTCGTCCCCTCCCTCTCGGCCCCGCCTTCGCCTGCCACGCCCCGCTTCAGGAGTTTCCTGGCCCCTGCACCCCGCCACCCCTCCTTGACAACCCGATATTCGCTCGGGGACGCGCAAACATGGATTAGCGATCCATGGATTCGGCGCGCGGTCGCCAAATCCATGGATCGGGAGAGGGGCCCTCCCCAAAATGCGACCCGTGCCGCCTCGCTCGGCGGCGGAAATCCGCGATTTCCCGTGGAGACGGGACCCGTCGCTAATCCACGCCCACTTGATCCATGTTTGCGATCGCCTGATTCTCGGTGCTCGTGGTTCGTCATCCTCTACAATTACTCAATATGAAAATACTCTCCCTCTTCCCCTGATGGCGTCCGGGTGATGGCCGCGCACCCTCCGCATACTGTTTTTTTAACACACAGGATGCCCGGGAAATCCCGGGAAACGACTCTCGCTGAGGCGCCGGCGTCATGTTTTCCCAAAGTGCTGCTCTCGTTGGCGCCGGCCTCATTTCTGCTCCCGAATCGTTCCGAATCGTGCTCCCGCTGCAGCGTGGGCCTCATTTTCGGATCGGTGTTTGGCCTCCGTCGTTCAGGATGGCGTTCTCGCCCCAGCGCGGGCCTTTTTCTCGCGCGCCCATCCGCCCGCCACCACCGCGCCGCACCGCCACCACAACCACCACCACCACCACCACCACCACCACCACCACCACAACCACCAGCACCAAGCACCAGTACCAACACCACCACCACCAGCACCAGCACCACCACCACCACCACCACCACCATCACCACCACCACCACCCACCACCACCACCACCCACCACCACCACCACCACCACCACCACCACCACCACCACCACCACCACCACCACCACAACCACGCACACACGCACGCACGCACGCACGCACGTGCACCACCACCAACTACGCACGCGCGCGCGGAGCCACAGGTCCGCTACGACACGCGTCCGCGGATAGAGAAAATCAGCGCCATGGTAAGGGATGGGAGGGATGGGTAGGACGTCAGATATGACGCGAGCGCACCCAGCTTGCTTTTGGCCCCTCCCCTGCCTCCCTCTGCTGGGCGCCCTGCTCCAGGCCCCCAACAGATCCCTCGCCCAGACCCCCTTTATAGAGGGCAAAAAATCCACCCCATTACTGATCACCCCGACACGCGAAGCCGTTTAGCAGACGCACCCACAGAAGAAATCGAACACTGCAAGGCCGTTCAGTAAACGCGCAAGGCCTTTTTAGTAAACGCCAATTGTCGGGTCCGGGTGGATTTTCCTCCATGAACTTCATGTTCGTGCCTCATCGTCGTCGTCCTCGCCTGCCCTCCTTTCCCTCCTAGGCCGTGGCCTCAGCCCCACCCCTGACCCGTGGTCCAAGGCCCCACCGCCCCCCCCCACTTGCCCCGGGCCTGTCAATTTTCGTCGTTCGTTGTCGTTCGTCCTCAACCTCCCTCCCCAGTAAAGCCTGCCCCCGCCCTGCCCCAGTGCCGCCCCCCCCTTGTCCAGAGCCCCCCGTCCTGTCACCGTGGCCTCCTCCCCCTGGTCCAGACCGCCCCCTTTCTGGTCCAGGCCTTCCCCCCCTTGCCCCCGACCCCGTTCAGCTCGTTGCTCGCCATCGTTCATCCCCTCCCACAATCCCCCGGGCCTGCCCCCCCACACCCGTCCCGTGGCCGTCTCTCCCCTGGCCCCAAGGCCCCACCCACAGCCGATGGCCTCTCAGCCCCTCTCTCGTGGCCCCGCTCCGGTCCACCGCCGCCCCGCAGCGCAAGTGCGAAATCGGCGTCGTTTTCCTTCCCCCCTTGTCCCACAGCGGCGGGGCGGGGGGGGGCGACAGCGACTATCAGCAGGGGGCGGGCGATTTTCGGGCCGATCGCCTTCAGCTGGCTTGTTACCAAAAAGCAGCACTGCGGGGGAACCGCTATGGGGAAACGATTTGGGAGCACAGGGGAGCTAACATGAAGCTGAATCCCACACGAACCTTTAATCGCAGCCGATCGAAGCCAGCGCGGTTTCAACCAGCATAACTTCATGAACGAAACGCAAGCAGGAAATCGAGCTCAGTAACAATGCGCAGATGAGGCCACATATCCTCATTCCCAAGGTTTGGTGAGAGAGCCCCCCCACCGCAAACGCGCAGTTCTAGGAGATGGCCCTCGCCAAAATAAACATAACAGTATTGGACGTCCCGGAGAAAACGCCCCCAAGGCCTGCAGCACACACAACTCAGGGCACATACTGGACGTGCATTACACATAATTAGCAACGGAAGGAATGGATGGTCGCTGCAACTCTCGACATGGACCGAGGTCCGCTGCAGACCTCGCAAATTCGTAGAATGGGAAACAGGCCGCCGCAGCCTGCTTCCACGAAATGAGACTGAGTAAGCTCTAGCCGTCACAGCTCGATTCTTCGCAAACCTGCATCCCTTGTCCTTGCTAGCCGCCAGGGTCAACGCGAACTTCCCTTCGCCCGCGGGCACCTGCAAGTGGTCCGCCGGCATGTCCTTCGTGGGGCGACCTGGTACCATGTAAGTGCCGGCGGACTCCCGTACGTGGTTGGGTCCGAGGCAGATCCAGAATGTCACGTATACTGGCTAGATCCAGTTTGATGCTCTTCTGCGTTGCACGTCCTACTCCAGCATCGCCCATCACTCTGTCACGCCAATCTCGCGAGTCCGCCGCGCCCTCAAGTGGCACTAGGTCTCCGCAAAAACGGGCCATGCAATATCTCGGCAATCTGACCCGGGAACCCTTATGCGACAGCAGCTCCATCACCTGCGCAGACCACCTCCGCGGCTCAGGAACTTCGCGCAGCTCGTCAAATTTAGCCACTCTTGTCGCTCAACAGCGCCGAAAGAGCTTGCCTCTCAGCAGGTTATAATCGCCCCTGAGGGTAGGGGGGCCACCCTGGGTACCGGGCATCTTCGTCACCGGGTCTACCGTCCAATTCGCCCCGTCTGGTATCCCTTTCCCGCGCGAACTGTCCGTCGCGCGGGGTAGACGACCGGTCTCGCGGCCGACGCGCTTCATCTCGACCGCGAACACGGGGTTCATGTTCAGTTCGCGCACGATACTGTCACCCGTGGTCAGGGCTCCGCTTATCGGTCCGCCCTTGCGTCCACTCTCGCGCTGCAGCACTGCCAGGTCGTGGGCGTAGTCCACCTTAGCTTTGCCACGAGCCAACTGGTCAGTCGGACAATATGCTTGCGCTGCTTGAACTTGCCAGGCTTCATGATCGATCCTGGCTCCTGCCACCCGTTACGCGGCACGACTACGGTACCCGAACCCAGCGCGAGCTTCATCTTGTCTACTCGTTTCACTTAGCATGTCTTCCACGGAATGCGGGGTCGTCCTCTTCGTCGGACCCGAAAACGAACCTCTCTGCTAGCGGGCCCTCAGGCGCGCCATCTTCTCGTTTCCGCCGAAGGGAAGTCATCGGCATTTACGCCCGCGCGTGCCCGCGGCGTCTCGGCCGATCAACTGAGAAAATGCCATCCGCGTCCGTGGCCCCGAATCTCCCATCCAGGCGGCTCGTTGCCACTTGACGCAGAATTATCTCCCACTGCGCGGTAACGCAAGGCGCGTCCACCCTCGC